CAACTGGAATGGCTGGGTGGGGATCAGAATACTGAGTGCAGTTCATCCCTGGATTTCACCCAGGTCAGATCACTTTATCAGGAGCTCTTCTCCAGAAACCTTGACCCCAGAGCACGCCAGGGCGGGGCGGAGTCTGCCCTGGGTTTTCCATAGACCAGAACTGGTAAACCATGTCTGACTCCGGCTATCAACAGTTTCTTTCTTCATCTTCATCCCAGCATTGTCCTTGCCGTTCCATCCCATCCCAGGATAATGCACCAGCACCTTCGAAACTTAGTCCTACTATTCCACACACAGTCACCTGAGGCTGTTCTCACCAAACAACTGATTCTGCAAGAAGGGAAAATGTTTCGGGAGCCAAGAGCATGTGGAAGCCCTGTGCTTACACAGCTAGCTGTGACTCCTCAATGGACTGCACCTTTTGTAACCTCAGGCTGCCCATTTGGTACAAGTCTGTTCCGCATGTCCCTCCTATGGACTGGAAGGCCAGCCAGACCATGCTGTTTCCAAGGCCCTGCCAGAAGCCAGCAGACCAAGTCCTATCAAATATGCATGCTTTGAATCTTTGCTCACACCAGCTCTGCTAACATTCCATTGGCCAAAGCAAGCCACATGGCCAGACTCAGCTCAGTGGGACAGGAAGTGTATTCTGTCCACAGGAGAGTGAATATTTGCTGAACAATAACTCAGGCTAGGACGTAGCTTCCACTGGGCTCAGAAGTCTTGAAGATCATAATAGTCAAAGGCAGATCTCAATTATGGGAAACCACTTTAAAGGAAGACAACTGAGGCATAGAAACCTTAAGTGGCATTCCCTGATTCGCATAAAAAAATCACAAAGATGCAGTGAAACTTGGTCTCTTTAAATCTATCTCCAGAACCCTAATTGCCTCCTTAACACAAGCAGGATAACTAACTACCACCAATACCTTTGCAAATGCACTGTGTGTCCCATGGCCCAGACCATCCTTTGTGCCTAGAAAAACCTCCTCTCAGCCTTCTTTTCTCCTTTCTAAATTCACGCTCTCACAAGGCCCAGCTCATGTCTTCTTCTTCTTCTTTTTCAATTAAAAAGATGGGGATGGTTAAACGGTCATGGTTAAGTGATGTGGGGTTTGTGGGGCTGGTGCTGTGGCACAGTGGGTTAATCCTCCACCTGCGGCACCAGCATCCCATGTGGGTGCTGGTTCTAGTCCTGCTCTTCCAGTCCAGCTCTCTGCTGTGGCCTGGGAAAGCAGTAGAAGATGGCCAAGTCCTTGGGCCCCTGCATCCACGTGGGAGACCAGGAAGAAGCTCCTGGCTCCTGGCTTTGGATCGGCACAGCTCTGACCATTGCGGCCATTTTGGGGGTGAACCAATGGAAGGAAGGCCTTTCTCTCTGTCTCTCCCTCTCACTGTCTATAACTCTAACTCTCAAATAAGATAAAATCTTAAAAAAAAAAAGAGAGAGAGAGAGATGTGGGATTTGATCCCCATTCCGCCTACCACGACATTGGATAAGTTCTTAGCTTGGCTGGGCCTAGGTTTTGTTTTTTGTTTTTTGTTTTTTTTTGTTTGTTTGTTTGTTTTTTTCATTTGTAAAATGGTGATAACCCCAAGGGCTTTGTGAAGATTAAAAGTAGATATCTGTGAAGTGCTTAGAGCTAATGAGAACATAATAGAGTTTTAAAATAATTCCTTCCCTCTCTTAAAAGCTAGACATGATCTTTCCCTGGACTGATCTCCTGGGGTACATATTCAATTCAATTAGGCACTAAGATATTTTAGGACCATGGTTATATATCTCTGTATGGGACAGGCAGATACCATGAAAATGTTCAGAAAACTATAGCTTCTTTCATTGATGGGTTCTGTTGTGTTTTCTCTCATAGCCCTGTGTGGTCACAGGAATATTCTCTACAAAGAAACATATTTCATCCAAGGGTTATATTCACAGTATTTAACAATTAGCCTTCAGCCTGTGACCCCAAGTTATACACCTCTTGGCTGTGGTGCTGCATCAGGATACTACTGGATTAGGGTTTGGGAGTTGGCACTGCCCAGAGCAGGGGGTGGCACACAGAGGCTTGGGCAATGGCTATTTAAAACCAATATTGAAGCATCTCTTACTCATGCCAGCTGATTATCAGCATGGGTTCTCTCTCATTTTTTTAAAACATGGAGTATTCTTGGCCGATTCTTTGTTTTCCTATTTTTGATAGAAACTTGAGTACAAAAAAACAATACTCTTCTACAAACGAATGCCCCCTATCCAAAGCAGGCAGCCTGCATTCAGCTACAACCAAATAGCATGGCTGTCAGTTGGAACTTCCAGGAGAAGCCAGAAATGCAGATTTCTGTACTGAATTTTTAATTGGGGGGTGGGGGTCAATGATTTTGAAATCCCTGTGCAACCAAGCACTGTGGTCTCTGGTATATTGAATGTATTTTATTATACCAGGCATTGCAAGAGTTCCAAGATGTGGATTATGCTCTGAAGAGACTTGGTCATCTTATTGACAGGCAGGCAGGCAAATAACAAATAATTTTATGAGATGGCGCACATGATGAACTGCATTGTATAATGAGTGACTTTTTCTTCTGGGTATGTCTTACCACTGCCTAAGCTAAACTCGTGTAAGGGTGAGGATTCTGTGCATTACTTGTCCCCAGCACCAACTGCCTTACTCTTAGTGTTCCAATGGATTTATTACTTTAATGGTCTCTTGCTTAATCCATACAACTAAATGCCCATATGACAACATAAATAGTGTGGCAATTTCTACTGAATCATCACCTCTCTGCAGAATCAGTCTTACAGTAAGTATGTTGCAGACAGTAGGAATAAACCCTTCTGGAATGGGACCAACTGGGGTTCTTCTTTGTAGTAGTTGGTTAGAGACAGCAGAAGATGATGTAAATATGCAGGCACTTCCTTGAGAGACCATGTGGGAATCAGATTTGGGACGATGCTGTGACTGGCACCTCACTCTCGACATTTATTTATTTTCAGTGCCAAATGGACCTCCTGGTCACTCTGTGGAATCAAGTAGAATGCAAAAGCAGGGACCAAAACTCAATTCAATTATTTTGCTGGAAAACAAAACCTAGATATAAGTTAATTACCATTGAGAAATACAATAAGGCCTAGAAAATAGTCATAATATCAAACATAAGAAATTATAATAAAGGATATGGCCACAAAAATAAGGGGAAAAGTCTTAAAACTGGAAGAATCATCCATGTAAGAAAGCATCAAAACAACTTTTTCCTTTATTATCATAGCAAGAGTGTTCATTTTTACCTACAGTTTAATCAAATATTTACTTATTTACTTATCAGATTGTTTAATCAAGGATAGAGCTTTCATTGCTGTTTATAATCTAAAAGTAGCACATGTTCATTAAAAGAAAAGATTCAAATGAGTGTTGTATTGGTCAGCTTTTCATTACATAATGAAATACCTGAGACAAGCTACTCAGGAAGAAAAGAGGTTCATTTAGCTGGCAGTTCTGGAGGTTCAAGGGCATGGTGCCTGCATCAGCTCAGCTCAGGTTAGGGCCCTCTCAGCTGTATCACTTCCTGGCAGGTGGCAGTGGCAGGAGCACAGGGGAACAGATCTTGATCACGTCTTGATGCAGGAAGCCAGAGATGGCCTGGATCCAGGCTCAGGCTTTCCTAACAATCCTCTCGGAAGAACTAACAAGCGTCCCACAAGAAATGCCTTAATCCCTTTGAGGGCATGTCTGCAATTGATCTGTGGCCCTCCCACAGGGCCATACCTTCCAAAGATCCACACCACCTCCCAGAACTGCCACCCTGGGAACCAAGTCCCCAACCTGTGAATGCTCTACCCGCATCCAAACCAGAGCACACATACAAAGTTTCCTTCCACATCCTTGCCTGCCTCCCTCGACCACTGCACTCTTTTTTTTTTTTAATTTGTTTATTTATTTGAAAGGCAGAGGCAGAGAGAGACAGAGAGAGAGGGAAGTCTTCCATCCGCTGGTTCACTCCCCAAATGGCTGCAACAGCCTGAGCTGACCAATCAGGAGCCAGGAGCCCCCTCCAGGTCTCTGATGTGGGTGCAGGGGCCTAAGAAGGACTTGGCCCATCCTCCACTGCTTTCCTAGGCCATACCAAAGACCTGGATCAGAAGTGGAGCAGCCAGGACTCGTACCAGTGCCCATAGGGGTGCCAGCACCGCTGGCAGTGGCTTCATCCACCATGCCACAGCGTTAGCCCCGATCCCACTCTTAAGTATGGCTATTTCCAGTAGTTTGTTATCTCCTTTCAGACCCTTCGTTCTGCTCACTCAAAACATATGCATATGTTTGTGTACAGTGCTTTTTTCCTAAGAAGTCTGGAATTGGACTCTGTTAGTGTTGGGGTCTTAAGCCTGAGGCTGGCCCCTGACCAGCAGGGGCAGTACAGGCACTCCTCAACAAGGTGAACGGGAGAGGTAAGGTCGACAGGTCAAGCACACCGCAGCAAGCACCCGTGAGCTCTGTCTAAGCGGGAACTACTTTATTGAGGAAGTGTGCAGGTTTATAAGGCTTACAAAAGACGTGTGCAGTAGGGGAGCCAGTCAACAAAAAGGTCATGCAGGCATGGGTGGACCACGCACAGGGGCATATAGGGGTCATGTACTGTCCACGTGTCCAGAACTAAAGCGGACCTATCCCTGCAGGTGGTCTGATCTCCCGTGACTTAACCGCAGCGGCTGCAAACACGCCCCCCAAACATCCGCCAGGCACTGTATTGTTAGGGACTATTTTAGGCAATGCTCAATATGTTAGTGCTCTGCATCTTAACTGTTTCCTTCCTGCTCAGTCAGCTCACATGTTGATCTACACTGTTTTCCTTTCAGGCTGCCCTAGTATTTCACAGTTGTAGTAAACCCTACTTTAACAGTTTCCCAATGGAGAACCATGAGTGTTGTCTTTAGTTCTACCATTACAAACAATGCTGCAGTAGACAACACCAGTTTATATTTTAATTTACTTTTTAATTTTTCACAGGATTATGGAGACTGAAGTCATTACAGAGTTTGGATCTTTCATTCAATGGGATATTGGAAATCGGGCTGTCTGATTTCCATAACTGCCTGCAACTGGAAAACCTCTACTTAAAGAGCAACAAGATATTCAAAATTCACCCAGATGCCTTCAAGGACCTCAAAAACTTACAGGTTCTAAAAGTATTTTTGTAATATTTCAAGTATGAAACATATGGGCAACATTAGAAGAATATGTCCATTGCAGAGTTCCTTCATGTCCAGTTGGAGTGGCTATTAATCAAAAACTATAAATGTATTTTAAGATCCTATAAAAAGTTTTTCTTCCCTCAAAATTCAAAGCCCACAGTAATGGAGCTGAATTGGACTTAAAAATAATACTCAGCAGCAAGAACTGGCAACATTATTTTTTTCTAAATCAAATTAAATCTGACTCGAAGTTTCCATTTACCAGTTAGCAAGACATTAAATTTTAGTTATTTGTGAGGCCACCTCGTTGCGCTGTGAGCTCAGTCAGAGGTCCCAGGGCTGTTGTGCAAGCTGGACCACTTGGGGAGATCCTTTGCCCCACGCTGGCCCATGCAGAGGAGTCCCTCTGCAAGACTGCAGGGGACTTTGCAGGCCGATGAATGCCTGCAATGACTATAGCTCATGCTTCTATAGCACCTACCACATGCCACATACGGTTCTCAACTCCATACGCCAACTGGGGGCACCCTGTCCCACTGTGGAGCCAGAGTGCCTGCCTGTCACTTAGCATAATCTCCCTAAGTCCTGACAGCTGGGAGGGGAAGGAGCCGCGAAGCCCTGCCCTAGGCTGGCCAGCTGCCGCCCCTTCTCTCCCAATCGCTTTCCTGTGCATCCCTTCCCTTGAGGAGGGTCCTGTAAGACCCCCACCACGGGCCTCCAATGTGGCACCAAAAACAGTGGTTGGGGTCAGTCATTAGTCCCCGTCTCTGTAACTCTACCACCCCACATTCTGCATACAGGCCACATCTTCAGTGGAAATACAACATGAGCCACACAGGGAATTTTAAATATTCTAGTAGCTAAGTTTTAAAAAAGTTTGAAACTAAGTTTAAAACTAAGCAGGTGAATTTCATTTTGGTGATACATATTATTTAGCCCAAGATACTGAAATACCTGTTACACATGTAATCAGCATAGAAATTATTAATGAAATACTTTACATTTCAGACTGTCTTCTGATGCATGTTTTACACTTACCCTGCATGCTCCAGTGTGGACCACCCACATTTTAATTGCTTATCTGAAAATGGAGAAAACTTGGTTCCTTTCTCATAGAGGGTTTTTTTTTTTAAGATTTATTTATTTGAAAAATAGAGTTACAGTGAGAGGTTGAGAGAGAGAGAGAGAAAGAGATAGGTCTTCCAACTGCTGGTTTACTCCCCAGATAACCACAACGGCTAAAGCTGAGCTGACCCAAAGCCAGGAGCTAGAAGCCAGAAGCCAGAAGCCAGGAGCCTCTTCCAGGTCTCCCACATATGTGCAGGAACCCAAGGACTTGGACCATCCTCCGCTGCTTTCTCAGGTGCATTAGCAGAGAGCTGGATCAGAAGAGGAATGAATAGCCAGGACTCGAACCGGCACCCATATGGGATGCTGGTGCTGCAGACCTGGGCTTTAACCCACTGCGCCACAGGGCCAATCCCTCTTTCTCATTGAGTTTTATGAGAAATGTTTTCATCTATGCAAAGTGCTCAGGACATTACATGGAATTTAGTAAGCTCCTTATAAAAGTAGATTACATATAGAAATTTAGAGTGTCCACAGTTACCCTACTCTTTTTTTTTTTTTTTTTTTTTTTTTGACAGGCAGGGTGGACAGTGAGAGAGAGAGACAGAGAGAAAGGTCTTCCTTTTTGCCGTTGGTTCACCCTCCAATGGCTGCCACGGCCAGCACGCTGCGGCCGGCGCATCGTGCTGATCCGATGGCACGAGCCAGGTACTTGTCCTGGTCTCCCATGGGGTGCAGGGCCCAAGGACTTGGGCCATCCTCCACTGCACTCCCTGGCCACAGCAGAGAGCTGGCCTGGAAGAGGGGCAACCGGGACAGAACCTGGCGCCCCGACCGGGACTAGAACCCGGTGTGCCGGCGCTGCAAGGCAGAGGATTAGCCTAGTGAGCCGCGGCACCGGCTATCCTACTCTTTTAATATACAAATCTGATGATGCCATTCCTTGGTGAAAACCCTTCTGGAAGTTCACAGCCAGTTCCTGGTTCCTGTCTGCCTCTGTGGTCTCATTTGGAGCCACTCTTCTTTGCTTCCTGCTCTCCTATCTCTATTTTCACCACAAACCCTCCCCTATGCTCATCCTTGGCCTGAGAAGAGCTAGTGCTTATAAATCCCTCCAGCTTTTGTTTAACCATCATCCTCTAGGGGCCAGCATTGTGGTGGAGTGGGTAAAGCCACCACTTGCCACGCTGACATCCCATATGGGCACTGGTTAGAGTCTCGGCTGTTCCACATCTGATCCAGCTCCCTGCTAATGTACCTGGGAAAGCAGTGGAAGATGGCCCAAGTCCTTGGGCCCCTGCACCCATGTGGGAGACCTGGAAGAGGCTCCTGGCTCCTGGCTTCAGATCCGCTCAGCTCCGGCCATTGTGTCCATTTGGGAAGTGAACCAGCGGAGGGAAGACCTCTCTCTCTCTCTCTCTCTCTCTCTCTCTCTCTCTCCCCCTCTGCCTCTCCATAGTAACTCTGCTTTTCAAATAAATAAATCTTAAAAAATAAAAAAATCACACATACATAGATCATCCCACAATTTCTGTTGGTCAGGAATCCAGGGCTGGTTTCTCTGGGGCTGTTGCTTCAGGGTCTCTCAAGAGGCTGTAGCCAAAGTGTTTCCAAGGCTGGAGCCTCAGCCCCGCTGGCAAAGGACTTGCTTCCGAGCTCACTGAGTTGTGTGCAGACTTCAGTGCCCTGGAGGGCTGTCAGACCAAGGGCTCACTTCCTCCCTGGCTCCTGGCTTGAGCCTCTCCTCAGTTTTGTGCCCTGTGGGCTTCTCCACCATGGCAGCTTGCTCCAGGGCCAACAAGGGACAGAGGCTGGCAAGATCTTTGTGATTTTTATGAAATATGTCATGGAAGAGACATCCCATTGCTTTAGCGGGAGTCTTCTGGCTAGAAACAAATCACTGGTCTTGTCCACACTCAAGGGGAATAGATTGTTCCGTGGCATGAGTACCCCCAGGGGCAGGATCACTGGAGATTGTCTTTAAGTCCGTCTGCCACAGTGGTGGTCACAGCAGGTGGAAGTGCTCCCCAGTTCACCATAAATAGGTTGGCAACTGTCTGAAACCTCTTTGGGATCCTGTATTCCGAGGATATTTGTGTAAGCCACTTGCCCTATGTTTCTTTTTAAAATTTTATTTGCTCTTTTATCACGCTTTACAAGACTTTCTGCAGCTCACAGGGAATAGATGCAAGAGGCAAAACAAAAATCAGCTCTGCGAGTGTTTTAAAACCAGCTGTAATTCCCAGTTCACTGGAGGTGCCCAGAACCATACAACTTCTCCTTCTTTATTATCCATTCCACACGTCTGGCAGCAACTCAAAAAACTAGTTTTGGAATATGATGAACCTATTTGATATCAGAAAGCTGAATATCAAAATGGATGTTGTCTTTCTTCTGGGACATGAATTTAATATTTACACTATTCTATGTTTCTTCCCACGTGGGAGTCTTTTCAGAAGCCAGAATGATTTTCCAAAGCATAAATTTGTCACTGAGTTTAAATGGAATGAAATAAGTTTCATCGACATTTCAAATTAGCATTTCTTCTCTTAATTTTATCCCATTCTTCCTAGATCCAGTGATTTGTGAAGCAGTATTGTATGCTTCTCCCAATCTTTCTTCGATGTACACCCTTTCAAATGCTAGTGGATGGGTCCTTTCTCTAGCCAAATTGGACTGTCTTGTTTTCATCTTTTCTCGGATATTATTCCTCCTGAATCATTTCATTAATTTTCTGTCCTTCCTCCAGTCCTGCTTTCTGTTCCATGATTTGTAGTAGAAAAAGATGCTAGGATGAGAAAAATGCCAAATAACTACCAGAAAAGCATCAGAATATTCCAGTCTGCAGTTGAGGCACTGGGGTACCCAAGAAAGCTACTAATCTTAGGCAAGGCCGGGCCAAAGCAGTGTTTCTGCTTCCCCACCCCACAGTCGCCTGCCTTCTATTTTTGGCTGCCTTCCTTCCAGAGTGAAGACGGGCTGCTCGGCGCTGGAAAGGTCGCCTGTCTACCTGAACTCACAGAAAGCTGCCCTTCGTGTGCAGTGCTGTCGTCTCTGCCGCTGTCCACTTGTTTGCATCAGCTCTTCTTGCAAGTTTATGTAACCCAAGATGTAAATGCTGATTTTCCAGAAATCTTTAGAGCTGAGTGGCCTTGGTAACATTCAGCCTTTCTGGTTTTCATCCATATTCCTCTTTTTTAAAAGCTAGAATTGCACTTTCTCTTTCATGATTTTCTCTCCTCTTAGTAACTCCACTCCCATGCTGCCCTAAACCCCACGACTCCACCCTGGCTGCCGCACACTCCAGGACTCCCCCACCCAACACTTCCTTCACCCTGGTGCTGCGGAGGCTCAGGCTCTGAGAGGGTGTATTCTGTAGTGGAGGGCACACAGCTGAGAAGCCAGATCCAATCTCAACTCTGCCAGTCCTTTCCAACATTTACTAAGAACCTGCTAGGTCCCAGGCCCCTATGCCAGGGTCTAATGTGGGCTATACTAATGTGGCTTAGCCAAGTTCCCTCCTCCATGAAAAGGAGGAGAATGAAGTTGTTGGGAGGGTTAGAAAAAATATACCTAAAGCCCCCAGCAGATCCCTGATACCCAGCCATGGCCTGCAAGTGGGCCCCGAGAAACACCGACCACACAGCCACACTTCCCGGCAGCACCTGCACCTGCCGTGTCCTGCTCAACAGTCTCTGCCCCGAGACCCTAGAACCAGGAACCCCATCTGTTCCCTGGCTCTCCCTATCTTCCTTATTAGACCAGAAAAAGTAATCCTTTTGTGTGTACTGAAAACCATGGATGCAAAGAAATGCACTAGCACCTTTGAGATAATATTGGATACGAAAGATCTCTCTTTGCTGCTTCTGGCGCATCACAATTCTCTGTTCTGTGTCTCGTCATCGTGTATCTGACAGTCTTCAAGATCACAGTGTATCCAGAAATTCTAGACCTGTTACCAATTCTAGGCCTTGATCACATGAGAGTCTAGGTTTTATTTAATAGTGTAAATTACAACTCACAGGAAAGAAGGAAAGGAACATGATTGGACATCTAATACAGGCACCACACTCAGCTTTCACACCCCTGGGAGGGAGTTTCAGAAACAATTGGTCAAGACTCACAGAGTGTTTTGGGGAAGAGGGGAGGTTTCAACCCAGCATTCTCTGATCCTCAGACCTATGCTAAGCTTGCAAAAGGCATTCCAAAAGTTCCTGGGAAATGTGTTTTATGAAGACTGTGCAAGGATTTCAAAATTATTTTGCACCAAAATAAAGGTATCTTTAAATTAATTTTTGCTTCAACTTTTTGAATTACCCTTACTATATTGCTTCCATAGAGATGTAAACAGTAGCTTCCAGTAACTCTTACTTAGACTCTAACCGTCTTTATTCCCAGAGAAGCCTAAATGTGTGCCTTCTCAAGCAGGTCGTGGACCTCAGCAGCAACGCTCTGACCGCTGTCCTGCCGATGATGGGCATCGCCCTGGAACTCCCGCATCTGGACGTGGACCTGGCCGACAACCCCTGGCAGTGTGATGACAGCGTGCCGGAATTCCAAAACTCCATTGCTGGATCCTGGAGGGAAAAGTGGAGTGCGATATGCAACAGATCCACGGGTACGCCAGCGGGGCCTCTGCTTTCTGCATGGCTTCATTTGAGAGTAGAGTGCACACCCACAAGACCGTGGTCCTGTTTGAAATCCTGGGAGCAGGAGTGCTCCTCCCCGGCGGTGCTCCACGTGGCACTGCGGCATTCCCCTGTCGGTGGTGCCTCACTGTTTTCCTCAGGTCATGAATGATTTTTTTCACGTAATCAAATCTAGTTCCGGTCACTCAGAGTCAATTGGATTTGGTCAAGAACAGACATTTTGCTAGATAGAGTTTTACCCTGTTGCCCCTAAATGTCACAATTTTATCCCTATCCTTAACCAACAATTGATTAAAGAAATCACTTAAGGGGCCGGGGCTGTGGCATAGCGGGTAAAGCCACCTCCTGCAGTGCCAGCATCCCATACGGGCACTGGTTCGTGTCCCGGCTGCTCCACTTCCCATCCAGCTCTCCTATGGCCTGGGAGCAGGGGAAGACAGTTGGGCCCCTCCACCTGCGTGGAGACCTGGAAGGAACTCCTGGCTGCTGGCTTCAACCTGGCCTAATCTTGGCTGTTGCGGCCATTTGGGGAGTGAACCAGCAGATGGAAGACCTCCCTCTCTCTTTCTCTCTCTCTTTCTGCCTCTGCCTCTGTAACTTTGCCCTTCAAATAAGTAAATAAATCTTTTTTAAAAATCATTATAAAAATCTGAAACATCATTATTTTAAATGCTTGCTCACCCCCTGGAAGTCTGGTCCTCTGTATACACAAAACAAACACTGTTACATCAAAAGCCTTACCTTCCTTCAATTTGTTCCTGGCCCCTCTCCCAAAGTTTTGTGTGTTTTTTTTGTTTGTTTGTTTTTTGTTTTTGTTTTTGTTTTTGTTTTTTTGACAGGCAGAGTTAGACAGTGAAAGAGAGACAGAGAGAAAGGTCTTCCTTCTGTTGGTTCACTCCCCAAATGGCTGCCACGGCCAGAGCTACGCTAGTCTGAAGCCAGGAGGCAGGTGCAGGGGCCCAAGCACTTGGGCCATCCACCACTGCCCTCCCGGGCCACAACACAGAGCTGGACTGGAAAAGGAGCAACCAGGACAGAACCCAGCGCCCATTTGGGATGCTGGTGCTGCAGGCTGAGGATTAACCAAGTGAGCCACAGCACCAGCCCCCCAAAGTTCTAGAATCTGTTACTGGTGTTGAAGGTGGGAAGGTTTCTTTTTTTAATTAAAAAAAATTTTTTTTTAATTGTTTGCACTACTAACTATGTTGGGTAGATCTCAAACTCCTAACTAGGAAAAAATAAGTCAGATTTCTTTCTTTAAGTCAGTCTTAGCCTCTGCTCCATTCGGGACCACCTTTAAAGTAGGACCATGGGCTTGCTTAGAGGTTTGGAAGAAATCCGTGAAGAGCAGAGAGAAGTCTGAATGTTGCCAGCCACACGTGTTTCACTCCTTTACAAAAGCCACAAACGGCATCTGAGCACAGGAGGCCAACCGTCCGGAAGCAGTATGGGCAACCGGACGGTTCTGTGTTCCGCAGCACAGGGAATGGCTGGGAATGAGGCTGCAAACCCGCGGGAGCGAGCCAGGTTTTGCAGGAGGCTGGTGCAATCTGGGCAACTGTGAAGTAGCTGAGGCCACGAAGGAGAAGCTGTGTGGCTGTCCCTGCAGGCTGGCCACTTCGTCCACGGGCAGCAGGCAGGCAGGAAGCCCAAGAACCATACACCTCCGCAGACCGAGGCCTGGCAGCCCTGTGTGAATGTGCACGGAGCCCCAGGCACACTGTTGGCAGCGCACAAGGAGGAGATGCTATCACCACGTGACATACACATTGAGATATAGCCAGAGGAGGCCTTTGAAACCCCTCGAGCCTTATTTCGAGTCTGTTCATGTGTGTGTTTATCCCGCACCTGCAGGATACGAGGCGGCCCAGAGGGAGACTCCCCGCAGCAGACTTTCCAGCGAGACCCACCTTCCTCACACCGATCGCAGTCACGGGGAAGACCACGGAAGGAGCCAGGCGGAGAGGCCCCGGGAAGGAAGGCGCATGCACTTGTCCACCGCGGGGAGGCCGGCGCATTCGGGCTCTGATCTCTGGGAGCAGCATGGCCGGCCGCCAAGAAGGGTGAGGGACGTGCACGCTGCGTACAGACAGGACGAGGATGCCGAACAGCACCCGGACCTGACCCTGGCCGTCTGCCTGTCCGTGTTCCTGACGTTCGCTGTGGCTTTCTCCCTGGGAGCTCTGGCAAGGCCCTACATTGACAGACTGTGGCTCCAAAGATGCCGCCCCAAGGGCCCTCCTGGTCCAGGCAATGCCTATGCAAACGAGGGCTTCTACGACGACGCAGTGGCTGCCAGGAACACGCAGCACCCCAGGACACATGTGCACCAAGGGGTTCACGATCCAGACCTCTATGAGAACCAGGACGCTCTCTCAACGACAGAGCCACACCTATACCTCACTGTCCTTCCAGACGGAAGCCAGCAAAGGAGCCGCTGGCGCAGCTCCGAGCAAGGCGGCGGCGACAGCCGAGCTGGCAGCAGGTACGACAAGGTGCTTCTGAACGGCAGTTCGGCCCGTGCCCGCAACCAGCAGGTCGCTTCAGCCGCACCAGCGCCGACCTACGGGAACGACGTCCTCGGAGACTTCCACTACGAAAGCGTGGCCGAGGAGCACGCTCCCAGGGAGCGCTCCGTGGACGTCCCTTCCGGAGCCGGCACGTTACAGACTCTGTCTGCCTCAACCCAGAATGTGAATCCATTAGACCCGCCACGCTGGAAAGAAATGCCAGCTTCGGTCTCTGGAACGCTACCATCCACCAATGCACAGAGGCCCGGGGAGAATCAGGAGAGAGCGGGCACTGCCCAGTCACCTTCAGAAACCCCAGCCTTACCGATGGAATTCTCTCAGGGAATGCAACCGGGCTGGCACCTGAATTTGCCGAGCGCACCGCAGCCAAGGGTCAAGGGGGCCGGTGCTGAAGCGGATCCCTCAGCCTATTATAACGGTGGGGTCACACACGGTGACCCAGGAGGCGCAGACCCTCCCATCTTTCCTCCAAGATGGGGCAGTTGGCAGGCTGCTCTTTCCGACCCTCAGAACAAGCTGGAGAGTGACTACGACTCCGATGAAGGGTCTTTGTTTACCCTAAGTTCGACAAGCTCAGAAGGTGCAAGGGAGGTGACTGAAGCAGAATCACGTGGGGAGGAATGCTCTGGGGTCGGGGAGCCCCTACAGGACATGCACTCGGGGCACAGCAGGGACATGACATCAGAAGAAAGTCTTGAGGACAACACCCCCTCCCAGAGGATTCTGGGAAAATATGAGAATCGGGAGGATCATTTTGAAAAACTTCTCATTTCCGGGCCAGACTCTGGTTTGGGTGATAGTCATCTGGAAAGTGTGTCTGACACCCACGAATGTGAAAATCCATTCAGCTCGCCCAGCTCGCTGGGCGGTGGCCGTGTGAGCGGTGAGGTTCCAGGCACGTTCAGTTACGATTATGACACAGCTCCTCAACCCGAGGCAGTGGAGTGGCACTGCTCGCTTAGAGACCTGCTGTTTGCAAGTGCTGGGGTTCCCACAGCGCCTGATGAGAGGGATTGCCAGGAAGGAGACTCAGACAGAAAGGCAACTAGGAAACTTTCCTTCAGGGAATAAACACAGCTCAAAAAGACGTTCCTTTCAAGGTCACCTCTTAAGACCCTCACAGCAAAATCCTAAAGGGGGCGACATGAATTCTGACCAGACAGAAACTGAGGCAAATGTGGGGTTTGTATGTCCATTGAAGGTTATGATCCCGAACAGTTGTTAAAATCCTACAGTGATAAAGTATTTCTCAGTGTGTACGGGGTAGAAGGTGGGGAAGACAGTTCCAAAAACCAAGCGCCTCCACCTCAAACCATTTCACTCAGAACACAGGAACAACTCAGTGCTGGAGACTGGGGTAAATACTCAGAGGACATCTCCTGTTGCACTTAGAAGGTGATTCTAACTTGTACACTCAAACGCAGACCCAGGGCGATTGGCAGGGAGTTGGCTCTCTGTGTGAGGATCAACTCTACTACCACAAAGACAAGGAGCTCACCTTGCCATCAGAGGAGCTCAAGTGACATCTTTGATACCTACAAGGCCCTTGTATGGAAGTGCTGAACAGATTTTAATGAATTCTGCACAAAGACTGGCAGAATGTTTTTGGAGGTTGATAGTGAAACTGCAAAATTGGAAGGGTTCAGAAAAATTGTAAATATTTTTAATTATTGTAACTATCTTTAATAAGTTATGTTAAAAGAGGGACCATTTCCTAGAACAAAAATTAAACATTAACTTTAAAGAAAAGAAGTGATGTTTTCTGTAAAAGAAAAAGGTGTTCTGCCATTATCCTTGCCTGGCCCTTGGTGTGACGCTCCGGCCTGGGCTCTTAGGAGCTGTGTTCTTCTCTCTTTCCACTTCTGACAGTTTCTCGTTTTTCTTCCTGCCGCTTCTCTTCTGCTTGCCTCTAAAAGACAGCACAGAGCCTGAACATGATCTGTGTCCCGCATCATGCAGACATTTAAACCCAAGGTCTTATGTTAGTGTTACTGAGAGGATGGAAGCAATGCAAGCATGGCACCTACATACAGGGAGAGGCGAGACAGAGCCGCACGCTGCAGAGGTTTCCTTTGACGGAGACACAGGAGTCCCTGGCAGGTGGCAACTGGAGGATGCTGGTGACTTCTTCTGTCTCAGCTTAAAAGAATAGGGAGCCAGCTGACCACAGCACCAGAGACAACGGAGAGAAGCCACTGACCGCTGCTTTGAGAGCCTTGTTGGGAGGCTCCACATACATCTGTGCCCACGTCTTTGTCTCTGTTGCTTCTGCCCAAGATGCTCTTTCCAACCCCACTCAAACAAGTCCTCTTTTAGCTGGCTCGCTCATACTTAGCTCTTAGCTTTATTGTCATTTTCCCCAGGGAAAACTCCTTGGACCCCAGACTACGTTAGAGTTCCCTATTCCTAACTCTCTCATGACTTAGCATTGCTCTTCATATGGGTGAGCTTATCACAGGTCAAATTACAAAACAATTTGGGTGATTATAGATTTGATGTCTATTTGTCCCTTTTATACTATATAATGAAAAAAAAACATGTCTGTCTCTTCAAGGCCTGGAATTTTTAGGTTTTCAACACATGTATTTACTGAATAAATGAATGAATGAATGAACAAACCCTTTAGTGCAGCAAACAATGGCATCCCTGGTCTGGCCCCGCTCATATCCAATTTGCAATGCACTGGGCCCTGCTCCATCCCCGACTGCCGAAGTTTGAGCCAGCCATACCGAAGTGCTGGCAGTTACAGATGCATTGCAATGTGCCACTCCACTGTGCCGAGGCCCATATGGCTGACTGCTTTCTGCCTGTTTTCTGGATGGCACATTTGACCTCTCAAGTAAGCCCAGCCTCATCTGCCTGGAATTATCTACTCTTCTTCCAAGACTCAGTTTGAGGGTCCCCTCCTTTGTGAGCCCGTCTTACCTCATCCCACGCAAGTAGAAACAAGCATTCCTCCTCGCAGCGGGCTTCCACTGTGCTCTTCGTATTTTGTGGAGGTAGAGAGGGCTTCCCCTGGCTTGTGGAGATCTACTACGTTCTTCTATTGGCCAACTTCCAATATTTGAGTAAAATTCAGTCCCAACGTGTAACCAAGACTATGAAAGTCACCTCACATTTGACAGTTATTTCACAAAGTGAAAACTTACTTTCTCTTCCTCCAGTATAGAAAAAAGTACATCTATGATCTTTAATATTTTTCTCTGCATTCAGACTTTAAAGAAAGCTTCCGGTAGCACAGTATAAACATCACAGGTGTTAGGCTAAGCAGCTCTATTTCTCAGTAAGCCCCTCATTTCATATAAAAATGAATTTTTAAAACCTTTCACAAAATGCCTGCTGTACACTTGGCTAATAATTGCTCATAAGGGTGAAATTTAAGGGGCTGGTGCTGTGGCATAGCAGGTAAAGCCGCCACCTACAGTGCATCCCATATGGGCGCCAGTTCAAGTCCTAGCTACTCCACTTCCGAACCAGCTCTCTGCTGTGGTCTGGGAAAGCAGCAGAGGATGGCCCAAGCCCTTGGGCCCCTGCACTGGTGTGGGAGACCCAGAGAAAGCTCCTGGCTCCTGGCTTCAGATCAGCACATCTCTGGCCATTGTGGCCATCTGGAGAGTGAACCAGCAGATGGAGGACCTCTCTCTCTCTCATTCTCTCTTTCTCTCTGCCTCTCAAATAAATAAGTAAATCTTTAAAGAAAAAAAAGAAATTTTTTTTAAAAAGAGTGAGATTTAAGGCCTCATGCTTCCCAATTTTCAAAATACCTCACATCTGAGGTCTGCCCCTAAGTTGCCCTCAGCTTTAAACTACCCCAGTTCTATGGAGTCCCTTGTCCCACTTCCAGCCTTAGTTCCACCCCTTTCAGTTATGTCCCCAGTTCTTTTTTTTTTTCTTTTTCTTTTTTTTTTTTTTGACAAGCAGAGTGGATAGTGAGAGAGAGAGACAGAGAGAAAGGTCTTCCTTTTTGCCGTTGGTTCACCCTCCAATGGCCGCCACTGCGGCCGGTGCACTGCGGCCAGTGCACCGCGCTGATCCGAAGGCAGGAGCCAGGTGCTTCTCCTGGTCTCCCATGGGGTGCAGGGCCCAAGCACCTGGGCCATCCTCCACTGCACTCCCAGGCCACAGCAGAGAGCTGGCCTGGAAGAGTGGCAACCGGGACAGAATCTGGTGCCCCAACCGGGACTAGAACCCAGTGTGCTGGCGCCGCAAGGCGGAGGATTAGCCTAGTGAGCTGCAGCGCTGGCCCCAAGTTCTGCTATTACATAAGTGACCTCAGAAATGTGGTTTACTTTTCATTAAAATAATCCTTTTTGCATTTCTTTTGCAGAGTAACTCAAACACATTTTTATCAGTCTAACAATACTACATCTGCATATATTAGCCTAAGAAAGTTTTTGGAAAATCTCTGATATAATTTAACTTTACGTGTTTCCAAAACCATTAAATAAGTCAGGAGCCAATGGCTGCAAACCCAAAATGTAAAACATCGTATTCTCCTTGAAGAGAGTTAAGTGCCATCAATCATTGCCTTTTGAATGCTGTATCCTGAAATCCCTTAGGGTTCAATAACTGCATTTTGGGATCAGGTTGACAAATTCTTCCTCTCTGCCCCTCTAGGATGGTCCAGGGTGGGAGGTCTGGGACTCTGTCTCTTTGGGAAGCTTTTGGCCAGTTCTTTTCAGCGACCATGCTGGGTGAAGGGGAAACCAAGGGAGTATCCAAGAATCACCAGGAATAGCTGCTGGAACCACTAAGCAGCAAATAAATGCAAGCAAGGTGTCTTCACATTTCTAGTCTATTTAAAACATAAAAATCCACTCCACCCAAGGCTGCAAATTCTTTTTTTTTTTTTTTAAGATTTATTTATTTATTTGAAAGTTAGAGTTACACAGAGAGAGGAGAGGCAGAGAGAGAGAGAGAAAAAGAGAAAGAAGTCCTCCAACCAATGGTTCACTCCCCAATTGGCCGCAGCGGCCGAAGCTGTGCCAATCCAAAGCCAGGAGCCAGGAGCTTCTTCTCGGTCTCCCACACTGGTGCAGGGCCCCAAGGACATGGGCCATCTTCCACTGCTATCCCAGGCCATAGCAGAGAGCTGGATCGGAAGAGGAGCAGCCGGGACTAGAACCAGCGCCCATATGGGATGCCAGTGCTTCAGGCCAGGGCATTAACCCACTGCACCACGGCACCAGCTCCACAAATTCTTTTTGAAGTACCTTCATACCCAAGGTAGGAGGGGGAAAACAATTCTTATTTCTTTGGGAGGGAAGTTTTGATGAATGCCATTAGTTCTTCACAGCAGATTAGCCTGTCCTATTCCAGGAGGTTGTATGAACTCGTACACTAATCAGGGCAAAGAGTCCCACCTTTCTGATGCCCGAAAATCTCGTATTCATGAGAACTTGAAGGCAAGGCCTCTGACCACTTTAACCCAAATATTGCACTGGCCTTAAGCAGTATTTTTTCTTCTTCAAATTGCCACTTTAAAGCCTCGCTACTGCCTGAAAATTCTAGGTGATGGAGGCAATGGCAGTGTTATGGAATGGGCTTGAGGGCTCTATGAATAGTTTAGTAAATAACAAAGAAGCTCCAATTGTCATAATGGAAAGGACATTCCATGCTGCCTGGATATGAAATATTTTCAGTCTTCAGCTGACATGTGGTTTATCTGTCTCCATGTATCTACAGTCCTGAAACTTTTCATAGGATTAAATGTGAATGACATCTTGCTCATTTTAAAAAAACACAACCCAAATATAACAGTTGTTATTTGAAAAGAATATTCTCATTCTCATTCTCATTATTTGCACATCACTATTGACTCTTTTCTCACAACATATTTTAATCACAAATTTTTGTTTCATTCTTTAATGCTCAATGTTACCTCAGCTGAACCAAAAGCGTTCCCCCCTTTAAGCGGGTCTCTGAGTCATTCTCCAGTATCTCTAAAGCATCATTGCTTTCAGGCAATAAATGTTCCAAGTCAGCCTAAAATATGACCCCAAGAATGAAATCAGCTTCTATCCAAGCAGCCTTGTTTTCTTTTGGTGGAGAATAAATAGTCCAGGTTTTCTGCTATCCTGTGAAACTCACATGACTCAAAAGCATCATGTTCTTCTGTAAAAACACTCCCTCAAAATCACTGGGCTTATGGCGTAAAGTCAGGGAGACCACAGAAAAGGTAGGCAACCTTGTAACCAGAGCACTAAGAAAAACAGTCATTGGTACCTTGGAAATCACCTTGGCTAGCCCAGGCAGGCAGCCAGGCATAGCTTGAGGCTACAACAGCAGAGATTAAAAATTCACACAAAGGCCGGCGCCGCGACTCACTAGGCTAATCCTCCGCCTTGCGGTGCCGGCACACCGGGTTCTAGTCCCGGTCAGGGCGTTGGATTCTGTCCCGGTTGCCCTTCTTCCAGGCCAGCTCTCTGCTGTGGCCAGGGAGTGCAGTGGAGGATGGCCCAAGTCCTTGGGCCCTGCACCCCATGGGAGACCAGGAGAAGCACCTGGCTCCTGCCATCGGATCAGCGCGGTGCGCCGGCCACAGTGCGCTGGCCGCGGTGGCCATTGGAGGGTGAACCAACGGCAAAGGAAGACCTTTCTCTCTGTCTCTCTCTCTCTCACTGTCCACTCTGCCTGTCAAAAAAAAAAAAAAAAAATTCACACAAACCACCCGGTGAAAACTGTGGCCACAGTTCAGTTAGAGCGAGCTGGGGTGCTGGGCCGGTGCACACCAGAGGAGCTCGGGGCCAGGA